GGATCTCTTCAAGACTCTGGTTTCAATTCTTTTGGATATATACATTCAAAATGGAATTGCTGGATCACATGACCCTTCTAAATTTTGAGGAACTGTTATACTGTTTTCCATCACAGCTGTACCATTTTACATTGCTATTGACAGTGCATAAGGGTTCCAGTTGTTTTTTTTTTTTTTAAGATTTATTTATTTATGCATACAAGAGCTAGGGTACAGGCCAGAGGTGTGGGGTGTGAGAGGATTCACCAGAGACAGAGTAGGGAACAGAACAGGCAGACTGAAATATACTGCCAAGGGGAGCAGTAGGCGAGACAGGAGAGGTCTGCTGCGCCATGTGGGTAGCTCCCTGGATGGCTGGGGATCGAACTTGTGCTGCAGAGGCTGCGGATTGCTTCATTGTGTGGTGCTTAACCCACTGCGCCACCAGGGAGACCCGGGTTCCAGTTTCTTAATTTCTTTACATTCTTGCAAACACTTTTTAAAAAAATAACAGCCATCAAATGGGTTTTGTTTTTTTATTTTTTAATTTTTATTATTATTATTATTTTTATTTTTTTATTTATACAAGCACTGGGTACATTCAGAAGCACGGGAGGGTGAGAGAATTTACCAGAGCCAGAGCGGGGAGCAGAGCAGGCAGAAGGACCGAAGTACACTGCTGAGGGGAGCAGCGGGCGGCAGGAGAGGTCTGCGGGCCATGTGGGACCCTCCTCCGGTGGCCGGGGAGCAGCCGGGGATCGAACCGGTGCTGCAGAGGCTGTGGGCAGCTTCACAACCCACAGCTCAACTGCTGCACCACTGGGGAGGCCCCCTAATGGGTTTTGGATAGTAGTCTACCCTTTTGATTGTTCCTTATCAATTCTTTTACATAGTGCCTCTTCCTCGGGCTCCTTGTATGTTAGTGTCCACTCATGTTCTCTGCCCTCTTCTTCCGTGATACTTTCTCTAACTGTATGTCTTCAATTACACCCACAGATTTATTATTCCCAAAGCCAGTCTGGGCCTCTACACAAGCTCATACTTCTATATCCATTTGTATCTTGGGCATCTTTAAATACATATCCCCTTAGCAAATACAAAACCAAACTAACTTTCCCTAAAAGTTCTCCCTCCTGGATTTCCTCTGAGTGAAAGGCCCTACAATCTGGGCAGTTAGCCAGGCCATTAACATGGGAGTTATCTTAGCTTTCCCTTTCTCTCTACCCTTATCTCGTATCCATTGCCTTCAGTCTTTTTGCATTGCTGCTGCCGATGGTCATTCAATCTATACTTCCTTATCTCTAGCCTGGACTACTGAAGTAATGTCCCAGAAGTTCTCTCAGCCTGAAATCTCTCATCCCATTAATAATCCACATAACTGCTTGTTATTCTGCTGCAATACAGATCCAATATTAAATCTCTGCTTATAACTTCCAAATACATATGGAAGGGTAAAGGGACCATGAATGGCCAGGACGCGTCTAAAGAAGAGCAGGGAGACATCAGCTACCATTGTTAGAATTTACTATAAAGATGCAGTTTGGTACTGGCATAGGCACAGAAAATCTGATCAAGGAAAGAGAGCTCAGAAACAGACCTCTGCATGGAGAATGAGGCTCTGATATGAGACTATGGTGGCCAGGAGGTGCCTTGCTCACACCTCGCTCCCGGAGAACCTCCGCAAGGAGTGTAGCTAGTGGACAGCTTCCCGGTCTCCTCCGGGTGAGAAACAGCACCTCCAGGGCCTCTCTTCAGGGCTGCTGTCAGCAGTGAGGAAGGTGAGGTGCTGGAGCTGGGCCATCTATGCCCACCATGTGACTCCTCTAAAAGACAGTCTTTGCTCTGGAGCTCCCCAGTGGCCCAGGCAAGACTTTCTTAGAGCCACACCAAGTGTGAGTTCATTCCTAGCCAATCCTCCTTCCTCCTTTCATAAGAGTCCAGCCTATATTGTGAGCATCCTTCCTTCTTTCATCCTTTGTAAGAATTTCCCTCAACACATCTCTTGCACATTTAATTGAATCTTGGTATCTACCTCTGAGAGAACCCTAGCTGCACAATGACAGATGGGGCATGCCGGACCCACTGGGAAAGGCTGGGTGTAGTTCTTCAATAAAAGGAGTGAAAAAATAATGATTTTTCATGTGAAAAAATATTAAATTCCCACACTCCTCATATACAAAATTTACCTCCAGGTACGTAAATACCAAACACAAAATTTCTATAATTTATACCCTGAGGCAGGGGTAATATTTTCTAAATAAGACACACTCATACAGGTGGCCTCCCTGGTGGCGCAAGGGGTAATCACAGCACTGTAAAACTATCCACAGCCACGGCAGCACGAGTTTGATCCCAGCCAGGGAGCTGACACACCTGGTACAGCAGACCTCTCCTGACTTGCCAGCTGCTCCCCTCAGCAGTGTATTTCAGTCAATCTGCCTGTTCTGTTCTCTGGTGAATCCGCTCACCCCCACACCTCTGGCCTGTACCCCAGTTTTTGTGTGCATAAAAAAAAATAGACATACTCATACACAATAGATTTGCCCTCTTTAGAATTCAAAATTTTTGTTCACCAGAGGCATTTAAAAAGAGAAACAAGTAACAAAATGGGAGAGGATATTTGCAAAAAACGTAACTGGGAAAAAATTAGCATTAAGAACTCCTAAAAATCAACAAGCACATATAACCTTATTAATAGAAAAAGAGGGAAAATATATCCAGCATACATTATTTCCCTATGACTGTCTTTCTTGTATTGAGGTAGCACATTTGTTGCCATTGATAAACCAATTTGATACATTATTAAAGCCCATAGTTTACAATAGGATTAGCTGTGTTGTACATTCCTGTGGGGTCCACCATTACAGTAAAGTACAGAACAGTGATACCACTGTCAGCAAGCCCTACACACTCCATTCAATCATCTCTCCTCTCTCCCTCTGGCAACCATTGATCTTTTACCTTTTCTATAGTTTTGACTTCAGAATATCACAGTTCTGACTCATACACTATGTAACCTTTTGACTGGCTCCTTAGCAATTTGTATTTAAGATTCCTCCATATCTTTTTGTGGCGTGATAGCTTCTTTCTCTCAGTGAGTAATATTCCATGGCATGGATGGGCCACAGCCTACCTATTCGCTTATTGAAGGTCACCTTGAGTGTTTCCAATTTGGGACAATTATGATAAAACTACTGTAAACATGTGCAGATTTCTGTGTGAACAGAAGCATTTCATTCATTTGGGTAAATACCTAAGAGCTATTTTTACCTTCCTAAACAATTGTCAAAATGTCTTCCAAAGTGATTCTACCATTTTGCATTCACTCTAGCAATCAATGAGAGTTCCTGTTTCTTTACATCCTTGTCAGCATTTGGTTTTGTCAATAGCCTGAATTTTAGCCACTTTCAGAGCATACTACATTAAAAACAATTCAAAATACGTGTACCTACACAACACTTTCTAGGTATATACACATATATATACATATCTATATATATTCATATTTTAGAGAACATTTTAGATAACATATATATGCATGTACATATATGGAATAAAGCTTTGTAAGGAGGAAAAGAAGACATAGTAAAGACAGGACTCAGAAAGGTGGTTATTTCAGGTGAGGGGAGGAAGGAGAATGAGTTAGTGTGTGTAGGAAGCAAACCACACAGTTAGTGGTAAAATACTGTCATTATAGGGCCTCCCTGGTGGCATAAGGCGTTAAGTCTCAGCACTATGAAGCCATTGGCAGCCACTGCAATGAGAGTTCAATCGCTGGCCAGGGAGCTGACCCACATGGCGCAGCAGATCTCAACTGTCTTATCCACTGCTCCCCTCAGTGGTATATTTCAGTAGATCCGCCTATTTTGCTCCCCACTCTGTCTCTGGTGAATCCTCTCACCCACCCACACCTCTGGCCTACACCCCAACACCGGCTCTTGTATGCATAAATAAATAAAATAAATCTTTAAAAAATATTGTCATAACTTTTTGGGTGGAAGTTTCACAGTTGTTATTGCATTATTAAAAGTAAGTTAATAAAGGCAGATGTGGTAGATTGAATCATGGCTCACCAGTGATGATTATGTTTTAAACCCCAGGACCAGTGAACATGTTATATTCTGGAAAAGAGACTTTAGTGTTGTGATTAAGAATCTTTGTAAGTGAAAGAGGCAGAAGGATCAGTCAGAAAGTTAAGGTCAGAAACAGAGGTCAGAGGAAAGGAGGCGCTACATGGAGAAAGGGGTGAGGAGGCAGAGAATGTAGCAGCCTCTAGCAGCATAAAAAAGCAAGAAAGCTATTCTCCCCTCGTCTTCAGAAAGAAACAGTGCTCCCATATGTAGTGAAGGGATTTCAGACTTCTGACCTTCAAGACCTATGACATAATAAATTCCTCTTGTCTTCAACCACTAACTATAGAAAGCTAAAACAGTGGGCCAGACATGGATCAATAATGAATTGGATCATATATCCAGTTCTATACCTAGATCCAATAAAAAAAATAAATAATGATTCCTCATTAACTGGAAGGCAAAGCTAAACATGTTATAAAGCCCCTACTCACCTCTCTAGCTCTCGAGACCCCTATTTCACGCCTCCTTCCCTTCTCACTTCCCCTCCCCTCCAAAAAAAAAAAAAAAAAAACCACTCTAATTCACATACTTTAGGCAAGAGTCCTGGCCTCTGTGCCACTGAGCTGTCCACACGGGACTCCTATGGGGCTCAATTCCCTTATCATGCTCCTATGAAGCTTTCTAGGTTGAAATTCCCCTCGGTCTCCTTATCGACATTACAAGTGCTTTGGCTGCAAGGCTGACTCGGCTCACAGGATTCAGGATTAGGATCCAGGGCAGGGGAACCGTGGCTGGCAAGAGAATGGCACCTCAACATGCAGAGCCAACCCTTCAGGCGCTGTTTATTTGGGACCCCTCAGCTCTGGCAATAGGTTGAAAAGTCTTCACCACCACCTTCCACTAAGCAACTGCAGCGTGGACGAGATCAGTAACATTCACCAAAAATACCTGCTTGGGGGGGGGTCGAAGCGCACCGCGGGCCGTGGCGGGGCCGGGGCGGGGGTGGCGGAGGAGCAGACCCGACCGTCACGGGGTGGGAGGAACAGCTCCCAGCAAAGCAGAGCCGCGCGAACATGGCCTCCCTCATCTCGCCAGGCTGCCATCTGCCGCCCACGGGGGGTGGGGGGGCGTCTGTAAACAGAAACGTAGGTCGGTGCACGTCCCCATCCGAAGACTGTTCTCTCCGCTCTCAGGTTAAGTGGGGGGGGGGGACAACGCCCCCCCGGCAGAGGAGTCATCTGAACGGGGGCTGCGTTTCTCCCCCACCCCCACCCGATAACGGTGGGGGAAGCTCTGAACCGTGGACAGCAACCCACAGGCAGCCCACCTAGGCCGGGAACGCCCATCTGCAAGGAGACGCACCCAAGGACGCGGCCAGCCCTCGCGAAGCCCCAAAGGCCCTGGAGAGCGCAGCCCCCCGCTCGGCGGGGCCCCCGGGCCTCCGGGGCGTCGCGCGGGGCGGCGGTTGATGACCGCGGGCCGGCCGTTTTGATTCACAGAGGAGGGCGGGGAAGGCCCGCGGGCTCCGACACCACGCGGAACCCGAGCGCCGTCTCAGCCGCAGTTGAAGAAACCGCTCTCGGCCCGGACGGAGGCGGAGCAGCAGTTCACACAGAGCCAACCGAGGAGCCGCAAGATGCCCGGCGCCGTCCGCAGACGGCCCCCTGCGCGGGGCACTCTGGGACTTGTAGTTTACTTCCCAGACAGCGTTTTTTCCCACCGCGCTTCCCCGCCTTTCAACGTCGCTTTTATTCTCCTCCTCCCTTCCCAGCACGCTGACTTCCTGGTCGCCGCACGACCTTACGTACGACTACGCTACCCAGAAGTCTCCTCTTCATGTCTTGGTGCGGCGCGGGCGCCAGCCGTCCGCTTGAACTACAGTTCCCAGAAGTCTTCTGGAGAAGTGCTTCCCTCTCGCCTTCCAGGACCACAATTCCCAGAGACTTGAGTGTGGCGGCGCTTCTCTTTTTCCTCAGTCTCTCCTTGAGTTGGTTGGGTTCCGCTCGGCCGGCAGGCGCACGGTGGCGACGTGGCCGGCCGTGGCCAGGCCCGGGATTTCTTCAGCGGCCCGTTTTTCTAGCCCCCTCAGCTATCCCCCTGGCAGGCCGTCGCGGTTGGCCTGAGCGGTGACCTGGCGGGCCGCGCCTGCGCTCTGCCCCGTTTCCTGCCTGGCTGGTGGCGGCGGCCATTTTGTTCATCCTCCTCCTCCTCCTGCTCCTCCTGGTTGGAGCGCAGTGTCCGGAGCGGGCTGGGGGGAGAGCGCCCTAGAGCCGGGTTCGGTGCCTTTTCCTCTGTCCCCAGCCGGTGCCCGGAGCCCCCCTCCCCTTCCTCCCCACCCCCTCCCCTCCCCAGCCCTGCCCTCCCCCTTGTCCCGGGATCGCTCCGTCGCACCCACCATGATGGAAGACGACGGGCAGCCCCGGACTCTGTGAGTACCGAGACGTGGAGTGCCGGCGCCGAGAGGCCCGGACACCGCGGGCCGCTGAGGGAGGGAGCAGGAGATCGGGCCCAGCCTGGACTCTCGGCAGCTCCGCGGCCGGGGTGGCGCGGCCGCGCCGCGCGTTGCTCCTCCGTCCCCTTTTCGGCGGCAGGGAAGCCCTCCCTTCCCCCCAGCGCAGTCACTGCTCCGGCTGGGGCCGGGGGCGCGTCTCGACCCCTCCCCCGCGCGCCCCTCCTCGCGCGCCCCTCCTCGGCGGGGTCTCTGCCCCGCGGGGGCTGTCAGACCCGAGCGAGCCCCGGAGCTCCCTCAGCCTGGGGGGCGCTGGGCTGGGCTGGGCCGGGCCTGCGGGGGGTGGGACGGGGGTGGGACCGGGGCCGCCTCCCCTGCGGGCCGGGGGGAAGGGGCGCCCGAGCCCCCCGGGCCCCGGCTCCAGTCGCTCCCCGCTGCTGTCCCAGCCAAGCTGTGAGGAAGCCGGACACTTCCGCCGCGCCAGCCCCTGCTCTCTGCCCCACGTGCCCCCGCCCACGCTGTCAGAAACACTGCCCCGGCGCCCGCTACTTTTGAAGTGCGAAAGGACGTCTCTGGCGGCCGGAGCCTCGCTCCCTTCTTGGATCACGAAGTTTCCCCCGCGCGCTCCTGCCGCCGCACTGACAGCCCGTTGTTAAACTGCTTTCGCTCCTCCGGTGTGCACGTCTCCCCACTGTGTGTGCGCGGCGGGACCGTCACCGTGGGATTAAAATGCTGGCTCTGTCTGCTATTCCGTGTGTGTCTCCTGAGCGCTCTGTCATCCGTCTTGCTGTGCCTTTTTACCTGAAGCCCAGTCTAATGAATGAATTTCATCTTCCAACCGCTCGTTCGAGTTTCCTTCTTTTCCCAATGAGGAGTGATGACTCAGCATTTGCATTCCTTTCCGGATAGTGTGGCATTCCCTTCTTTTTTCCTGCGTTAAAAAAAAAAAAAAAAAAGAAGAGGAGTAATTTCTCATTAAATGCATGAGCTGGGCATCTTGGGATTTCCTAGCCTCCCTGGAAGCTCAGCATCCCCACCTCGAGTAGTAGGAGTCAGATCGCTGCTTTGTTTTCTTCTGCCTCTGCTCGTATTGATGAGATCATAGTTCATTTGGCTCTGCTCTCTGATGGGGACATTACTTTTGGGGAATAGGTGAAGGTGAATGGGTTCTCAGGAAGTTTAACCAGCTTCTCCTCTCCTCACTCCTACCAGAGCAAGTCCTCCGTAAAGAAGATAGGTTATTAATGTTCAATATTGATACAGGTTTTTATTTTTGATTTTCGTTTTTGTGTGTGTGTGTCTGGCCTCGCAGTCATTTTATTCCTGTTTCTCTGATGTCTCTCCAGAGTATTTGCCATGCTGTACTGAGACTGTCAGGTCAACTTAAGCATAACAAATGCTTGTATGGAAAGCCTGCTTAGTAGAACTTTCATGTTTGTGTTTATGTGTTTATGTACTGTCTTTCATTTCTGCCCTATCTTCCCAGAAAAGAGAATGGGACACACTTGAAATTTATCCTTCTGAAGCCAAGGCTTGGTATTTGGTTAGAGATGTGTACTTTGATGGAAGCACCTGGGAAAGCTGTGTTTAGGCCTAGCTGGGTTGTATTTAACAAAGATAAAAGTTAAATTGTATCTAAAAATCTGAAGTGTCATCATGGCATCATAATAGCTACTGAATAATTGGTAGATTCTCAAGCCACTTTTCTCATTAACTGTATCTATTCCCTATGAAGAAGAATTCTGGTTTTGTTGTGTAACTCTCTTTGCATCTGCCCTGTCTTCATTTCCGTCACCCTTTCTCCAGTAGGCTTAATACGCTAACTTCTTTGTAACTTATTTCTTACCTGCACACTTAAGTTGTCTTATGTTTACAGCTCTCTAGAAATGTGACATTTATACATAAAAATAAAAGCATCTTGAGCTTAGCGCTCCCTGTTGTCAGTCACCTTTACTACTGCTGTCTTCTTTTTCCTTCTCCCCCTCTTCTGCATGGGAAGGGGTATTTTGTAGACTAGGACTGCCTGCTGCAGCAGTTAGCTCACTGCCTGGAAGATAAGAGGTACTCTAATGTTTTACCATGATTTTACTTTTTTTCTTAAATTAAGTCCTGATTTAAAAGTTCTGATTGACTTAAAATTATAGGCAGGCATGACTGTCATATGGTGCATTCTGTACAGATTCTTATGTTTCTTAAATGTAAAATTTTCAGATAAGGGCAAATGTTTCACAATTGAGATTTTTGTCAGAATTTAATAAAATAAATGCCTAACAGTTGTTTTTTAAGTACTCATTTTACGTATTTCTCCTCTGAGGGTTCTTTTAGTTACAAGTAACGTGATGAAAACTTTGAAGTGACTTTAGAGGTTGATGTCTAGTAGGGATTTGTTTTCTTTATTTATGGAGAACCTTTTACTTTACATTTTAAACTGTGGATTAGATTTTCAAATGACTAGTATGTTTTAAAACAATGTACTTTTAACAAAACTTATCTTAAACTGTTTCCTTAAAATGCCTGTGTGTTACTAGTGAGGTTTTTTTCCTGCAGACACACACAAGCTAAGACATATGGTTCTATCATCAGAAAACAATATGGTGTTTATAGCCTAGGTAGGTCTTTAAATATTCATTACCTACAGTATTACTAATTTATTTGATGGTATTTAAAGTAGCATAGAATTGCTTTGATGTTGATCCTAAAGTTTATTTGTCATACAGTGCTTTAAAGTTCTATTTTCTGATGTCCATTCTCATTTCACATTTATGGGGCGGAGGGGGGGGGGAGGCTGTGTATTGATTAGCTTGTGATCTGAAAGAACAAACGAGCTCATGCTGCTGTGTAATACTGGTGTTGGAACTAGACTGCCTAACACCTACCTTGTAGGACTCTCATTTCAGACTTGTGTTGTGGGTATCTTCAAGTGCAGTGATTTGATCCATGGTGTATGTCTGAGTCTATACCACAACCTTAAATTATATAAATTCTGCTGTAGTTTATTTCATGTTCATCTATCCAGTACACAAAAATGACTAGGATTTGTGAATCTGGGATTATACCATGTTATGCAGTGCCATCCTTTAAGGTTCTTCTCTTCCTGTAATTCAGTCAAAGGAAGAAATAAGCCAGTGAGTTATAGTTTAAAGATTTACGGGCAATATTCTATCCCATTATAAAACTGAGTAGCTATACCACAGATTTGGCTGTATTGGGACTAAAAGTTCAGTCCCTCATTCAACTTAATCACTGTTTCTTTAAAAGTGTTTGTGCGTCAATATCCCTTATGCCTTTGGTCAAACCATTTGTACCTTTCCTCTACCCTGCCTCTTTCCTAAAACGAATTGTTGACAAAATTGATCTGTTGTTGATTAGAGGCCATTGAAAAATCTCCTCTTACATAGAAACTTGTTAAGAACAAAAGCAAAATGTTACTTCTGTAGAAAGTTGACCATGGTTTCTTGTGTGAGAGTTTTGGTGATTTCAGTCTTGGTAGGCCTACTCTTTGCAGAGTGAAAGCGCAGTGAAAAAGTGTGATTAGTCTTCTGAAAGGCATGATATTCTTAACTTCAAATTCAGCCCAGTTGGTCATAGGAAGTAGTTTGGCAATGTGAACTTTTGCCTACTGTGAAACTGCCAACTTTTCTAGATGGATTTTAAACTCTGATGTAGGAATAAAGGCATCATTTTCTGTTTTAATGCTTTAGTTTCTACAATTTCTGTTCTTGGCAGACGGAATAGACCTATGATATGCTGCCTTTTCTTTTTCTTGAGTGAAAAGCCATTTTTGGAACTTTCTAATTATTTATTCTTTGAATTGGCCTCTAAATGCAACAATACAAGAATTTGAAGCATTTGTCTTTTTCTCTTGTTTTGTGTCTGTTCTTCAAATAGAAATTTTATATTTAAACATTAGAACTTTAGACTGTGTTGACCTCTTTATAACTTGAGTAGACAGTAGTGAAGTGTAGAAACTATAATTTAATAAGGAAAGGATGTCATTCCCGTCATTGCCAAAAGATGAGGTTCTTATCAGGTTAAGTGTTGAACATTTGTCTTAAATGTTTTTGTTAGTCTTTATTTTGGAACAGATAATTTCACAATGACATAAAGGTACTTAAGCTACAGAGCACAGTACTTTTAAAGCTGTAAAGGTTTATTAAGTATCATGATGGTTGAAGACATAAGAATACAGAACTCTGAGGAAAAGAAAAGGCAATCTAAAATTTAAGTGAATTATGTTCTTTTAATCCTGGTAAATTGATGTTCCATGTACTGTTATGAAAGGCCTTTTTAATATTTATTTTTGTAATTTAATTGCTGTTTTACCACTGAACTTTTGGTAGAGAGTTTTGAAAAACTAAAAAACCTTAAAACTGGATTTTCTATAAATATTTCATAGCATTCTAAAACTTAAATTAACATTTTGCTCTAGGGTATCAGTACTTGAAATGGAAATTAACTTATCTAAATATATATGCCTCTAGAAAGTCTTCAGAATATATGCATTATTGGAAATATTCACTTGAAATAAAATCCTACTAAACAATAATAGTGTCCATTGTGACTGTTAGGTATGGAAGGTAATCAGCCCATGCAGTTTTTTCTGAACAAGGTGATGTTTAAACAGGAATTTAAACAGATTTAAATTGGAATCATCTAAAATTTGTTATATTAAAATGTAATTCTAACTTTGTTGCTTTGCTCATTAGCTTCAATATGTGAAAACCATTCCTATTAGAAGTGAGTTAACTAGCTCTTTAGGTTATGTAATACCTAGAGAACCAAGGTCACTTGTCCATTTTCTTTATAGATAGGTCTGCCTTGTACAGAAAGCAACGATTACATGAATACAGGCTCATAAACCCGTATGAGTGAAAACGGGACCTGCAGTCTCCTGGCTAGCTCCTCCTAATCCTATAACCTTTCACTACTGCTGGAAAAAGTATGTCACTATGTAGCCTACTGATGAGTCTGTTATACTTTAATTATAGGGAAAGGATGGCATAGTGGACCTAACTGAGGTTGTTGTTGGTTTAGTCTTCTATTTCAGTATCATGAAACTTGTGTTTCATTTTTAGAACTTGTGACTTTGAATTGCTAGTACCAACTGCAGTGAAATTCCTACCCGAACTGGAAAATTGCTACTTATTCTTCATAAGTTGTTTATTTTTCATTGACCTTACCTTTCTCAGTCTTACATTTCCTTTTCAGAGTGTTCTAGCTTTTAAAGCAGCTATGTTTTTAATATGGTAACCAGAGATACTAGGCTTATTTTGGGTTCAGTGCTCGGTTTCCAGATGTTGCATATTATAGTTAGGAAAATAAAACTTATGTCCCTTTCCAGAAGAAACTATGTAAAATTTTACAGATGTTTGTTTTATGAGGTGATTCATAATAGATGTGTTTGGGGAACACATGAGTGTACACTGAGTACCCAAAAAACTTAAATAAAGGTAAATCCATGAAACAAGACAAACTAAAGTGGTCATCTCTGGGTAGTGATGTTCTCTCTCTTTTTTTAACTTAACTGTACTGTAGACAAAAATATTTAAATTGTAATTTAAGAAAGTCTTACTTAGCAGAGCAAAACAAAATTATCTAATTTCTGTGGTTTTTTTTTTTTTTTTATAATCGTACCCTAATTCTGTTCTTTGTTCATGTTATAGCTTTGGTCAGGGCCTAAGATAAATTCACCTTATGTCTGCTATCCTTTATGATCAGATGTTCTAATGAATCAGTGTTTGTATTATTTGTGTATATGTTATACATTATTTTGAATTGTGTTTCACATCCAGAAATTGTAGTTGTTATCTTGAGACCTGTTTAAAATTTTATTATTTTGTTCTAACAAATAAAAAGAGAAATGGAACAGGGTTCAGAATAATATGCTTTGGGGCATGCAGTCATATTGATTTGTTCTTTATAAAATCTTTTGAAGTGGTACTTTAGTGGCCTAAGAACAAGTGTTGCTTTCCTAAATAAGGGTTAATCTTTTATAGAATCAGGCTTAAATAAATACAATGAGGAAAGATTTTATTGAAGGCAAAGGAATTTAAAGTGAAATAAATTGTGATGAGTTAAATGATAACACGTAGAGCCAGAGCTGAAGGGAAATGCTGATAATGTATTTTTTTCTTGTTCAGATACGTAGGTAACCTTTCCAGAGATGTGACAGAAGTCCTTATACTTCAGTTATTCAGTCAGATTGGACCCTGTAAAAGCTGTAAAATGATAACAGAGGTAAGATCTCCCAGGTTTCATGTGCTGACAATTATCTTGCTATTTTAATAATTTGAGAGATGTGAGTGGATTGGGATCATTTTAAAATTTCATTTTGAGCCTCCAGTTCTTCTAATTGGGGGGGGTGGGTGGTTTATGTTTGTTGTGTTGCCTTATTTGATTTGGCTGTAAACCAGGTTTAGAATGGAATTTTGAGAGAACAAAGTTTCTGTTGCTGTTATTCTCACATGGGCATTCTTCATGTGATGTAGTTTGCTTCAAGTGATTCTGCTTATAAAAGGTTGTTATAGCTTATCTCAGAGTGTTGAAAAACTAGAGGGTAATTTTTTAAATTCCAGTAAGCATGTTACCAATTCAAATAGTATATACTTAAAATTTAGGAACTGGTGTCTGGTAGAAGAACATTAGGTTATCATATACATAGTACATCACCAGGCGCTATGTCCATTTTCAGTCAGTACTGATGACTGAGCAGTTTTATGTAGGTAGGGATTTAAATTGTTAGGGTAATAATCTTGTTTTCCTGTTTTTCAAAGAAAATTTAACTTTTTATACTTCTCTGGTTAAGACTCTGGCAGTGCCCAGTGATCTGTGTTTCAGTTCTCTTCTTCTTGTTTATTCATGAACACATTTTTTGGACTGTTTACTGTGTGCCAACACTACGGTAAGTGCTAGAGATGCAGTGGTGACTAAGACGGTTCCTAGCACCATAGAACTTTAGAGTCTGATGAGACGGGTGGAGATCATTTTCACCAATGATACAGGATAACAAATGCTACGGAAACAGAAAATTTCAAGTGCTGTGAGCGCATACAGGTCCAATACAGTCTTAGGTCAGAGGAGGCATCTTTGAGGACCCAGTACCTAGGCTGAAACCCAAAAGAATAGTATTCGGAACTAGCTAAGAAAGACTTTGAAGAAGGGATTTCGGGTAGGGAGAGAATGTCGATCCAGTTTGATAAGGTTTAGCGGGAAAGATCAAAACCGTAACCTAGTGCATGGGATCATTTATAAGAGATGCTAGAAGATGAGGCAGGGATGTTTGGCAGGGGTCAGTGTGCTGAGGAGTTTGTGTTGTATATCCTGAGACAGAGGAGAACTATTAAGAACCAGTAAAGCAAATTGACCTTTTGAGTTTTTTCCCTAACTAATGATAATCATCATTCTGATCTTGTATATTTCTCTCCTTTCCTTCCTGCCTTTGATCAATTATTCATTCATTCATTAATCAGAAAATTGCTATCTGCTAGGCACTAGTCAAAACCCTTGGGATGTGATATAATGGTGAGCCAAACAACTAAGTTCCCACGAATTTACATAGCAGTGAATATCGTTAATAAACAAGTAAACACAGTAATTCTAGATATAGAAGCTATCAAGCAAATAAAGCAGTTCCATGATATTGATTGGAGAGTTGTTACCTCTTTGAGCTGAGCTAGGAATAACTAGAGGGTGCCAGAGGAAGAGGGAACCACGGATGTACAGATACAGGCTTTGTGTTGGTAATGAACCTATTGTGTTTGTGGAATTAAAGACCAACATGGCTGGAACCTGGGAAAGTGGTAGTGGAAGAGGCAGGTAGAGCAAGTAAGGGCCATGACAGAGTTTGGGTTGATTGTACTATGGTTGCAATGGGGTTTTAAGTAGGGCAAGCAGGTACTCTGATTAGCCTTTGTGACAATCAGTTGGACTCAGTTGGCTGTGGGATGTAAAAGAAAGGAAGTCATCAAGAAAGACCCTAAGATTCTTGTTTGTGCAATTGTGTGGTAGGTAGTGCTACTTACTTAGGAATATGGGCGTGACTGGGGGAGGCACAGGATGGATGGGGGCGGGCAATGGTGAGAATCAAGAGTTCTGTTTTGGCAATGTTAGATTTACGATGTACATTAGACATTTGAATCCTGCTTGAAAATCAAGATAAGGACAGAAAAGTGATCAGAGAGGTTGTTGATGAGCTGAACATGAAGTTTTCAGGCAGCCTGTTTGGAAGCTGACTGAAGTAGATTTAGGAGAGAATGGGATGTGAGAGTGGAAATAATCACTGGATTTTTTGAGGAGTATTGTCAAAAATTTAACAGTGTTTTTTAAAAACCTGTGTGCATATACAGCAAGTTGAGAGGTAAAGGATTTGAAATGACTATCTAAGCATTTATTTTCCTATCATAAATTTCAGTGTGTGAAAAAACACCTTAGTTTCATGGTTTTTTTTACTTTTTTTTAATCTTAGATTCTAGCTTTCCCTCTATATTATAGAAAATGTATTGTTAATAGCAAGTATATTATCAATTCTTAAGCAAACATTAAAGAAATTTTAACATCTCTGGCAGTTGAAATGTGACAAGAATCAATGGTGCCTTAAGTGAGATGCAGTGCAGTATGATGTGAGTGTTTAAGGGGGAGGGGGGTGTGCGTGTGTACATTGAATGAGATAGTATTGCATGAGTAGACTAGCTTATTAAAGTTATGGACCCCAATATGTTTTGCTATGGTTATCAGTGATAATACCAGGACAGACGAGGTAGAAGTAAAAGGGAAAATTGCAGTTTTTGCTTTTTATTTACTTTTAGATTCTTTGTTCAGTGAATGTTACTAATAAATGTTAACTCTTTTATGAGTGGAATCTAAGTGCCTATTTGGAGTCTTTTCCCACATTTTTTCTTTTCTCTTAAGAACGGCGTTCACATGACTACAACAGTAAGATTTTGTATGCGAGCCCATAGTTATCTTGTCAGTATTAATGATCACACTTTTTTTCCCCTCAAGGAAATGCCTTCTGGTTGCTTCGCCACTAATGTTTTAGACGTCTTGTTTTGGATTTTTCTTCTAAAACTTTCCTGGAATGAAAAACAATGGTTGTTGAACAGATCTTTATTTTATCTGGTATTTTTATCCCTTGTAAGTGCAACTAGAATTCCACATTGTAAATATTTCCTAGGGCATTTTACATTGAACAGTGATGAATGTTTTTAGCATTATGTAAAAAATACATTTCTACGGTGCAGAACTATTCAATATAGGTTGCAGTTTTATGGAATCCATTTCCATTTTGGCTATTAGGTGATATATAACTTAATACCGCTTTCTCATCTTAATATTTATTTGCTAACTTCTGTCAAGCATAGTGTCGTAGGGTACATTTAATAAATACTTCTTATATTGTGGTTTTGTGATAGAGGATTGTAGCTTTCTTCTGGAATACTTCAGTGAGACATAGTTTCAGAAATTATTTCCTTGATTATGAGTGTTTTTTTCTGGTCTTTGGAAGACCAAATTAGAAGTATTAGAATCTCCAGTAATTCAGAATGTTTTGAAAGATAGGAACTTCTTCTCAGTAGCTGGTTATAAATCTGAAATGTTTGTTTTCCTTCTCATTCCTTCTTCATGCAGAAAGGAGGCTCATAGTCTTGTCTTTGTGGCAGCACCATCAAATGTAGTACTAAACCCTAGTTTCTATCAGGAGTAAAGTTTGTGAAGTTGTTTCCTTTCTGTATTTCTTATGGTAATGGATATAATTTATGAAGGATTAAGATGCATAAGTAGAATTCATCCTTTTGAAAATAATGTTGGAGAGGAGCAGCGGTCCTTATCTCTCAAATCTGAACTTGAGGTTTTGTTTGGTCTAATATAAACTTCCATTTTATATTTCACATACTTCACCCGAATTCTATATTTTGATTTGATACTTGTAGTTATGCTTCTATACTGCTTTTATAGTTCTGTTTGAGTGCTACAGTATTCTGAGGCACGAGAGTCAGGTGAAGCTATAAATCTTATTTTTAAAGTGTTAGGCTTTCATAAACTTATGCAATCTCACCTTGTACATTCCTAGCTATCAGTAATGTTTTTTCCTGGATTTTCTTCTCAGCAACCCGATAGCAGAAGGGTCAACTCTTCTGTTGGATTTTCTGTTTTGCAGCATACAAGCAATGACCCATATTGCTTTGTGGAATTTTATGAACACAGAGATGCAGCTGCTGCATTAGCTGCTATGAATGGGAGAAAAATTTTGGGAAAGGTAAGATAATGGATTGATGGCACCTTTTGCTTACATATATTTGCATGGCAAATTATTTTCTATGCTTTCATAGCAAGTTTTTAAACAAATATGCAACTCTGCCAAGTGATGGTTTGCTTTATTCAGCTTAGTGCTTTTACAAAAATAATCCTGCTTGATAAATAATTGAATAAGTGGCAAGTGTTGTGATTCGTAATGACATGCTTAATAATTGTATTAAATATAATCTTTATTTTTAGGAGGTCAAAGTAAACTGGGCAACAACACCAAGTAGCCAGAAAAAAGATACTTCCAGTAAGTACTCCTGCTGCATTTTACTGTGGAAGAGTTCTGAAATTATCCTGGCAGCATTTCCAGCTTAAATAGGGTTTTCTCTTCCCTTTTGTTGCCTGCACAAGGTTTAGTAGCTGACTTCTTAAGTATTTGATTACTAAATGCTTTGATTTCAGATCACTTCCATGTGTTTGTTGGGGATTTGAGTCCAGAAATTACAACAGAAGATATCAAATCAGCATTTGCCCCCTTTGGTAAAATATCGTAAGTATCATAATCAATACTATACCCAGTAGTGACAGGAAAAATTGTATATGATTAACTTGTATTGGAATTAAGATTTTCTTTCCCTAGTTAGTGTGATTTTATTTGTTGTTTGTTTCTTTTGTTTTTTTGATTAGTAGATGTTGTTGAAAATGTTAATGTCATTTCAATGTTTTGAGGTCTTGTTTTAATCTAATCTTGTGTATAATATGTTAAAAAAAATTTAAGTGATTCTGTTTGTTATATTTGAAGCAGATGTTTGGGTGGTATAAAGCTATTATAAAAATATAACTTTCTGTCAAATGTTTTAAATATTTGGTGGTTAAAGATAATGGGTTAACCGAAAATAAATGTGATATTTACTGTATCTTAAACTTTCATATAAGGAGTTTGTAAATGGGGGAAAGTAGGTGAATACTTGGGTATCTTGTGGTTAAGGTGGAAATGTACATGTTTAATTATAATGATAAAAGTGTTTTGATATTTTAGCTGAAAAAGTAGTACTATTATACTATTAAAATGTTTCATTGTCTGAACTATGAATGTGGGGTTAATTAGTAGATACTTTTTGCTAGTAGTATTTGATTCTGCTAGATCGAGGCCAAATGTGGTTTAATAAAATTTATGTTCAAATGTCATTGTATGTTACTTGATCAGATATGTTGGAAAATTAAGTGGTTATAAGTTTTTATAAAATGTTTATCATAATTATCTTTTTGATTAAAGTCAGTTTATTTTATGTATTTATTTCCTGTAGAATTAAAGTACTGCTTTACAGGAATATGTTTCAACTAAGAACAACAATTTTTTTCTTCTGTACAATTTGTTGTTCTGTAGACTTAATTTATATGAAAGAAAGATTTAATTCTTAATTTTCTATTTTGATATTTGCTTTGCTTTTTAATCTCTAAATGTGGTAAGTAGTACTGTTTTAAAAATCAGTATAAAAATGATACAGGTTGCTGTTTTTCAATCTTTATTTATACCTGAGACCTGCAGTTTTTCTAAAGTCCAAGTCACAATTAAAAGTAATAGCATTCTGGTTATTTTGCAGAATTGCTCATAAGAATGGACAGGATCTTGAAGGCTAACTGCAAGGAACTGTGCACACTGGAACTCAGTTGTAGATTTTTTTCTCATTTCTATTTATTCTTATTATACATTATTTATATATACATATTTTAGTATTTACATTTTAACATTCTATATTCAGTGGAGTTCTATATTTCCAATCATTTTAACTTACTCACTAAAATTTCTGTGTAAATTTGTTGTTTTCGTACTGGTGTGCTTAGCATTGTTGTTAGTTTTTTATTCTCCTTTCTTAAATTTCTGAAAATGTCAATTTTTCAAAATTTACAGCTGCCCAAACTCCAAAATGATGGTAGAGAATTGACCAAGAAAAATAAAGAAATCTGTTAACAGGCCATGTATGCCTTTTTAATTCCTATTTTTTCCTCTTTTTCAATTTTTTAATATTTCATATATTTTGTATCACTAGGCAGAAGACATTTAACTATTTAGTGATTGCATGGTAAAGTAGTTAGCATTGTTACAGTAATTTATAGAACCAGTAAACCTTAGAGGACACTAGCCAATAGATTATTAGAAAAGGAAACTATTGTTCCTATTAATCTTCAGACTTGAGCATTTAGTTTAGAAAGCACAGGCTATTTATTAGGTTGCATGTTTATTACATGTTTTTGTCCTACTGCTTTTTTCTAACAGGTAAAGAAGCGTTAGGGAGAGTTCAGGAATGGCTGTAGTTAATTAGGGCTAACTGGAATTTTATTTAAAAAAAATGCTCACAATACAGTGTGTGTGGTTCCTTTTAGTTTTTATTTTGAAGATGACTTTTACTTCCCTCATTTAGCTGTGCTTCTTTTCACAGGGATGCCCGAGTAGTTAAAGACATGGCAACTGGAAAATCTAAAGGCTATGGTTTTGTATCTTTTTATAATAAACTGGTAAGTTTTTTCAACACTCAATTTGGATTAAATACACAATTTACTCATTAATCTAAAACTTAAATATTCATAGATGTTGCCTACAAAAATAGCTTTACGTAATTTTGTGTGTTTTAATAATAGAGTGTAATTCTTTTTTCATAAGCTTGGAAATAAGTAGCTAAGAAAAGGTAGTTCACTACAAAGAAAAGTATTAAAATTTCATTTGTGCATTGATGAAAGTAAGATGTGTTAGAGGCAAAGCTCAAGAGTAGGACACACAACTAATAGAAGAATTTGGAGGGAAGGTAAATTATATTTAGTCTTGATGTTAAAATTTTGTTTTAACTTTTTAATTATCATACTTTTGTAGTTGGGATGTTAATGACTAGCAAATTATGTAAGTGAAAATGTAAACAATTCCTTGATATTTTACATATATTCATTAGGAAAGAGGTGCCAAAATATAAGCAATTTGCATGAGTTATAACATTCAATAATAAAGTGGGCTTTGGTGTTAGCATTTTAGAACAGCTTCTGTGACTTACATTACCTGCATTCTTTGCTTCATTGAAATTCACATAAATTTTTATAATCTAAGCTTATTTTTTATTGATGGCCAGAATACAGCATTTCTAAATCATAATTCTTAAATCGTCTATCTTAAAATGAGTTTTTAATCCTGTGTTACAGTCATAATCCATTGCTACTAGAAGGTACATTTGGGGGGCTGGGAGGGCAGATGATTTAAATTATAATATTGGAGTTTTTAATATAGTCTCAATAAAAGTTACATTACAAATCAAGCATAAAATTAAGATACCTGAAAACAACTTGGGATTTCTGCTTTCCTTTAATTTTTGGTTATCAGGGATTGTGGATTTTTTCCTTGCATATTTGAACTGTGATCAATTTCCCCTTTTGCTTAAATGCTGTCTTGCTGTTTTGAAATTTATTGATTAAAAATAGATTTTAAACCACTAAGTTCAAATAATTTTCTGGTGATATTTACTGAGGATGCTTAGTGAATTAATTTACTCATATGATTATATTGGATCCAGCAGTGCCAGGTTTTTATTACATTGTACTGGATTTTACACACCATTGTTTTCTGGCTTATAGTTGTTCGTTCTCTTTTTTTTTTCCCTCCATAGGATGCAGAAAATGCAATTGTGCATATGGGTGGCCAGTGGTTGGGTGGTCGTCAAATCAGAACCAATTGGGCCACACGTAAACCACCTGCACCTAAAAGTACACAAGAAAGTAAGACATGTTTAGTTACTACCTCTACTATATATGTTAAAATTAGAGCTTTTTTCACAAAATATTGTATCTGTATTAGTCCTAATTTCTGAAAATTTAGTATTGTAAGCAAGACTCATTTCATCTTGAATTTTAATTGAAAATAATTGGTATGACTGTTAGGAGTGGTGAACCAGCTTATTTTACAGATTGTAGCATCAAGGAAAAGTGCAGTTTTCTCCTCCCATTTTTTTTAAGGCATATTTTAATAGTACATAGTAATCAGTTTTATAATACAGTACAACCACCAGCATTATTTGTTTTCTTTTTTCATACGTATAGATAACACTAAGCAGTTGAGATTTGAAGATGTAGTAAACCAGTCAAGTCCAAAAAATTGTACTGTGTACTGTGGAGGAATTGCTTCTGGGTTAACAGGTATAGTGTTTGCCTTTCTAATTCCCCTTTTCTGTAGAGTTCCATCACTACTAGCATCAATTTCATGATATACATGACATACCTTAAATATTTTTTTTATATTTTTGTTTTAAAGATCAGCTTATGAGACAGACTTTCTCACCATTTGGACAAATTATGGAAATAAGAGTCTTTCCAGAGAAGGGCTATTCATTTGTCAGGTAAAATTCTACGTGTTACGTATTATTACCCTTAGATTTTATCCACTCCCTTCAGTCATGTGCCCTCCCTCCCCACAAATATGTCAGGGCTTGTGTTTTAGTTCTTTTTGCAATGGAGAACTTTAAACTGCCTGCATAATGTGCTTGAGCAAAACCCTAAGTGAACAGTTACAAACTAAAGAATATCTGTATTTACTCTGTTAAGCTCTCATTATCTTCCTCTCAGATTCTCAACCCATGAAAGCGCGGCCCATGCCATTGTTTCGGTGAATGGCACTACAATTGAAGGACATGTTGTTAAATGCTATTGGGGTAAAGAATCTCCTGATATGACTAAAAACTTCCAACAGGTAATTCGATTTTTCATAGCACTTCTTAAGGTTTCCATCTTACATATCTGCATAAAAGGTTTAGAAACTCTACAAAATAACAACAAAAATAAAGCATAGAACTGCTTTCAGTTGATTTTATTAATGCTATTTCAAAAATGATTATTTTGTGGTATTAACTGAATCTTAATACTTTCTTTTCACAGGTGTCACCACCCCAATAAACTTAGACAATGATAAATAACAGAATCCTATTCACATAAGGGTGCTTACTTAGTTTTTCTCTTCCTTGTCTCCCACTTTCTTCAAATACTGTGTTTCTTACGTGTTCCCTAAAGTCGTAATTTGCTTTTTCCTAGGTGGACTACAGTCAGTGGGGCCAGTGGAGCCAAGTTTATGGAAACCCTCAACAGTATGGACAGTATATGGCAAATGGATGGCAAGTACCGCCTTATGGAGTATACGGCCAGCCATGGAACCAACAAGGATTTGGAGTAGAGTAAGTTGTTTGGTTTTTCCAGTATAGAAACAGACAGGGCTCTGAAAGAAGAAATAAAGTGGCGAGTCTCCCAAGGAAGACACACTTAAGTTCTTTTCTCAGAACCCTGTCTGTGCTTGAACTATGTAATCTTGAACTATTTGGCATCATAAACACTGTAGAAACCTTATTAAACTGATTTATAATGCTAAAAATTTGCTTTTTGTTACCTAGGTGAAAAGGGCAATTGGACTGAAATAAACATTTAGTAGAATTTGATTTATCCTTCCAATATACTACTCTATCTGCTTGCTTATTTTTGTGTAGTAAAGATCTTTGTCTAGATAGCTTTAGAAATTTAATCATATATTCCTGTTGACTTGTGTGAGAAGTCTCAGATTTATCTGATACAAAGTAGCTTGCTTTTTTTTTTTTTTTACTTTATTGAAAGAAGGGATTGGTTCCTTGTGTTTTTCTACCCCCTAAGTCAGTGTATGACCTCACTGATTTCTCTAATTGGTTGGAACAAATAACTTGTGATTTGAAAATCTCTTATAAATGGATGTCCCATGTGTGTAATATATGCTGGGTAGATAATACATTAAATCTTTGTTATTTTTTTTAAAGTCAGTTTTGAAATACTCTAGAGTAATCATTGTGTTAAGTTGTGGTTACCTTAAAAATTGAAGACTAATGTTAGAATGTATATTCTGCATCTGTGGGTAGGTATCGTTAACCTCTTTGCTCTTATTGTAGGCCTTAAAATTTCTTATTGTGTAGTGTGTGGTAGTTTCTGCTTGATTTGCTGTTTGTTTTGTATAAATGTATAAGTAATTTTTTCTTTGTGTTTGTTTAAGATTTCACTCTCTTTTTTTTTTTTCCCTTGCAAGTCAATCACCTTCTGCTGCTTGGATGGGTGGATTTGGTGCTCAGCCTCCCCAAGGACAAGCTCCTCCCCCTGTAATACCTCCTCCTAACCAAGCTGGATATGGTATGGCAAGCTACCAAACACAGTGAGCTGGGACTCTAAACACACAGTTGTAATTCATGATAGCTTCAGTTTCCTGTGACACTCTGAAGACATGAAAGTAGACATCGAAAAACGGAAATATTTATTTTAAAAATTGAAATGTTTGGAACCTTTAGCACAGCTTTGCTTTGGTGAAGGACACATGTCTTCTAGTTCTGCCTTTTTAAGTTTTTGTTCATGATGGATATGAACATGATTTTTTCTTTTGTGTACAAAAACAAATAAAGTCAATAAAGACAATTCTGACTACAAATTTTGATATAATAGAGAAATGGGTAATACATTTTGATTCTTAGATACTATTCCATTTTTACCTTGCTGTTCAGTATTTTAACCCACTGTGTTTTTAAAAGCGCAAAAAAGGGAGGATCGTGAAAAACTGGGAATAATAAGTTCATCCTGAACCTTGAAACTCCCCACCCCTACCCCAAAGTGGACCACATTCGAAGTCAGCCGAAAAAAGTGTGATATTTGGAAGAAATGCATGATTTTGGAGTCGCTTTGGAGGAAATACTTACTTTCTCTATGCCTAATGAAACCGAAGCCAGACTGATAAAGAAATTTTGCGATTTAAATAAGGAACAACATTGTCTGACTTACTTGAGTGAATACTGGTGGTCCATAGTAAGACATATTTTTAAAACTTAAAAAAAAAATGTTATTATTAAAACTGTAGTGAATTACATTTCATTTTGGGGGGCAAAATTCCAAGTATGGTGTTTGTATTAAAGTCAGACAGTCATACTTGTGCTTTTACATGAAGTTTAAATGGTATACATTGTAAATATTGAATAACTACAGCGTTTAAAGAGCATGCTTCAACATAGAAGTAGCAGCAATGTAATTATTTGAAGTAACACTTAACACATGCCATGCATCCAATGCAATGGATTGATAAAGATGTTTTTAAAAGACACATTTCCAAGGTTGGCTACCATGTAAAATTAAAAATTAACAAATTACTATACAGAGAAAGCCTTAATTTTAATTTCATACAACTCTGATGCATTAATACATTTTAAAATGTCATTGGAAATTAGTTTTTTCTTTTTTTTTTTTTCTTTCTTTACATCACTTGGTATGTAAATACCTTCATGAAAACCTTGTAAACCTATTTCAAGGTTCCTATAAGTTGTATAGTATAGTGTTTTTTAAAAATCTTGGGGTGTTTTTAAAAATTAGATATATTTTGCCCTAGAGTTTTTTTAACAAGATTGCTAAGACATCTTATTTAGACAGTTTGATGAACCAATTTATAATTGGATAGTCAGCTTAAACAGCACACAGAGTTGCAACTCTTATTTTTAATTAATTTCTGTTCCATTTAGGGTAGTGTGCATGGGATGGCAAGCCTGAATAGAGGCTGAGTTGTATGTGTGCAGAGTTTGTAAATGAATTAATGGGGAAGATGTGTAAGATTGAGGTTTGCTTCTGAGGTATTTTTCAGGCTATGTGGATAAAAATCTGCCTCAAATTTCTATCATAACAGTAATGTAAAATAGATAAAATTCTATGTATTTGAATTCTGACAGCTAGGGGGTGCAAAAGTTTAGGCAGTGTATTGACGTGTTTTGAGACCTGGGCACCAAAATGAGAAAAATAACCCTTTACAATGAAGTAGTAAGATGCAGCTAGTACACACAAATTACTATTTTTTTAAACCTTTGAAGTCTTAAAACTAGCTTTAAGATAATGATGGTTTTATGAATTGGTGACCACAACAATTTTGGTATTATTTTCCTTCTACCCCCATTTAGAAATGTAGCTCAATGTATTCAACATGAAAATTCATGGGGTCTGAAGCTACTCATCTTTGGGCCAAATTTTTTATGGCATTTTAGTTTCAACCACGATGATCATCTATTTACACTTTCCTATTACAAGATTTACCCTTACTTCTTTTGGTCATGGTCAGTGTCATTGGGGGATATTAAGGAAAAGTTACTTTATATTTTATAAGGAGAACACTCAAATTATATCAATTATGCCTCCTAGTTAGACATTTCTTGAATATATGTGAAACTTGAAAAACTGAAGCCTTTTTTTTATATATTGATGAAAGCCTATTAAATTCTCAGTTTGCCTTTTTTGGTCTGCCAGTATATTAAGTAGCTTACGGAGATAACACTTGAACACAGCTGCAGTGTTTCCTAGATGTGTGTTCTATAATTTAATAAAACTATCCAGGCTAGTAATATTGCCATAATAAACGTGACTGAAGTGTCCTTCGTCTTAATCTGAAAGAGAACAAGATTTCATGATCAGTTCAGTTGATGGAAGCTATTTCATTTTAAATGGTTTTTAAAATATGAAGCTACTTGTCCAAATGAAATGCAGCATTTTGAAATACAACTGTCAAGCTAACATAAACTCAAGACTCTTTTATTAAAACACACAGTAAAAGTCTGCGCTATCTTGATCCAATTTAAGCCCAAGGGCCGTTGTCTTTTTCATGTTCATTAGAAATAGCAGCAGAGGTTCTTAGGCATACAAGAAAAATGTTTCATATCATAATTATTTTGGTGATGTGTTTCTGACTGCCATCTTTTATGCTCTAGTAATCTCTCTATTAGTATTTCCCACCATGCCATTCCCATTTGATTTTTATGTCTGCTGGCAGTGAGAGGCTAACATGACTGGCCAACTAAAGCCAAAGCTGTAAACCACAGTTGAAGTAAGTCTTTCAATAAAGACTAGACTATATGATAAGTGGCTTTTTCTCATTGTCGTTTATTACGTAATTATTCCTTCCAGGCTGCCCTGAAATAAGTAATTTGGTTTTCTTTAAAGTTACTGTTAAGGTATGTGGAGTGTGGACTTACTTCTGTTTTCTGTATAAGTGTTAAAAATCCCTTAGCCTTGTTGAGTCAAAATTTAATTTCTGGATATAAAGTAGAAATGTGCATCTTTTCTAAAAATGTATGCTCTGTTGAATACCATAGTAAAATCTCATTAATTTGGAGTCCTCCAATGTAGAAACCATTAATTTACTGTCCTACCAGACTGTCCATTTCAACAAGCAGAAAAAGTAGAAAAAGAATTTAGTAAATGATCTAGATGTTTTTTCCAGCAGGTGGCCCAAATTAAATCTTACCCATTAATTCAAAGTCAGTATTTGGGCTTCCATTTAATATATTATAAACATTAAATTTGTATTTTTAGCATGTATTGAAAAGATGCAAATCTGACTTAGAGTATTACTAGTTTATATAAGTCTTCTCAAATTGTTCAAATGAATGGATTTTATTAAATATGAATTCTATGTGTAGCAATAAAATGTCCTAGTTACTGTGGTTAATTAGTGTGGTACTTAAATGCTATATTAATCTGAAAGTTGGGCTCCTGGCTACTTAAATTGGGTCTATTTTGAAAAGTAGTTCAGGTAAGCTAGATACTATAAATCACAAGGCTTATGTGAATATTTCCTTAGGGGCAAGAATGACTTGATTTTAGAATTGCCTGAATGGTGAGTGAAGTTTAGTTCATATGTAGGAAACAGGTGGAGGACACTACGTATCCAGGTTTTGCTTTTTACCTTAGGATAAAAAATTGGCGGGGGTAGGGGTTGGGGGGCCGCAGGTGTGCTACCGTAATTGACTCTTTTATGGAGTTAGGCTTTTATTCGGGCAAGGAGATTAATCCATATAATGTTTCATAGTTTGATTTTTAGACAAGAATGTCAATTAAAGTTGACCAAAGGTATGTATCTGTTAAGTGATTTCTTAAATATTCCAATCTAGTCCTAGTACATGTGCTGATTTTTTTATATAAATAATATTTTATATATTTTTACATCATTTTTCATTTTTATACAATGTATGCATTTTCGTCTTGGTTATAGTGCCCATAAAAATCCTACCACCCATTCACCCATGAACTATCACCATGGTCCCTTGTGCTGTTCCCACCCTTGTTTTGCTCCTACTCCCTTCTCCCCTGCTGTAGTATGTCTCTGATTTATAGTTGCCTATTGATTTTGATTTTTACTTTATTATAATTTGTCCCGTTTCCCCCCCCCCCCGCCGATCCCTTATTTGGATCATCTACATTCCGGCTATGAGTGAGACCACCTGGTACTTTTCTTTTTCTTTCTGGCTTATTTCATGAGCATGAGCCCTTCCAGCTTCCTCCATGTTGCTGCAAATGGCATGAGTTTATCTCTGATTGCTAAGTAGTAGTCCATGGTGTATATATGTACCACATTTTCTTGATCGAGTCATCTATTTTTGGGCATTTGAATGTTTCCATAGCTTACCTATTGTAAATAGTGCTATATGCGCCAAATTTTAACTTTTCCAATTGTTGAATTTTTTTTTTTTTAAGTTCACTAACCATTGTTTCTGTGAGATGTTCCTCGGGGAAAGTGATCTAATATCTTGAAGTCAGCTTGGAAAATACACCAAACCTTAGTAAAAGTGAAGTGCTATAGGATAGGTGTTTGAGAAAGTTGGTGGTGCGGCTGGGCTTAGCTCGTGGCCCTCCTTCATTAGAAACTGATGAAGCTGGGAGCCTGCCTGGTTGTCATATGGTTCTGTAGAACTGCATTTTTGAGGTAAACCAGGCGAGACGGTAGAGGTCTGCTGTGCTTGTGGGTCAGCTCCCTGGCTGGGTGGGGTTGGGGGGGAGAATCGAACTCATGCTGCAGTGGCTGGCAATAGCGTGATAGCACTGAGACCTAACCCCTTGTGCCACCAGGGAGGCCCAAGGCGGACAGGGAATTCTTAGGTAACTACATGACCTCTAGGACTTAGATAACAACTTGATTATGGTTTTCCATGAGTGTTGAATGCATGAATGAGCCTGAGGGGTGAAAGTACTTTAGTCTCCTTAAATCCAAACCGCACCTGGTAGAATCGTCAACTTGGTGCTTGTTAAAATGTGCATCCTGAGGCATTGAGTGCCATCATCCACAAGGTCTTTATTACCCTGATCCAGTTGTACTGTGAAACGCAAAGGTTTTAAATTCTAATATGTCTGGAAATTATTTGTATCTACTCACAGGTATCGAGATAGAATTTTTTATATTAAAGTGTTGGTGAGGGTGTAGAGAAATTAAAATTTTTTTGTGTACTATGGTAGGATAGCAAAATGGTACTACTAACTACTATGGGAAAATTAAAATAGGGAATTTTGTGTTTCATAATTACACTTCTGGATATATAGCCAAAAAAACCAAAGCTGATTCTCGAAGAGATATTTGTACACCCATGTTTATGGCATTCACAATATCCAAGAGGTGGAAGCACTC